TGCCAGCTTAAAGTTAAATATAACTAAATAATGAAAATTAACTAGAAAACAAAGAAAAAACAAATAGGTAACTTACCTACCCGGGCCAATTATCCCAATTACACCACAAGTGGACTACAAAAGAAAGAAATTAGACCATATTGATAAAATATTTCAACTTCATCGGAATTATAGCAACCAACAAAATTGTTTACAAAAGGTCGGGAGCCATATCTCCCAATTCCCATAGGCAAATCGGCCAAAACTTTAGTATGTTACTCTTCACTATATGGGTTTCTCATCCATATAAAGATCCATTGATTTCTTTGCTCAGATTGAGGTCAAATCGTGCTACAAAGATAGGGGTTCGCAATAAATGAATGTATGTCAGACCCCATGACGTCTGCTCACCCTCATAGCGATATCTCGCAATCCATTCAGAAGCCAATATTTTACGGGGAGCTTCCAAACTTAGAGAGGAACGCATCCATATATATAGAAATACATGATCAAGGGCCAACTCAAGGGTTGAATTTTAGAGAGAAGTTTACCAAAAGAACGAGACTGCAGTTTTTTAAAATAGTAAAAGTAAAATGGTCATATCTCTCCAATTCGACATCATTTTTGGGCTGAAAATTTTGTAAATTATTGGTCTTGGGGTTTTTTACAAGATTCCATAGGTTGATAATCAAATAGCAACCAAATTTGAGCTCAATGACAAAGGATAGAAGTGAATATGGAGTTTAACTAAAATGAAAAGCCAAAATTCAAAATGAGTGGAGCTTGACAAATCATAGAAGGTTTTCGTTCAAAATTTATTGTAAAATGGCAAGTTATAAAAAAATCAAAGGTTTGGCCATCCTTTTTGGTCATTTTCAATTCTAGTCTTAATTTACTTTTAAAATTTCACCTTTTTTTTTTTAGTTATGTTTTTTATTATTCACCCACCCACTTTTAATATTTTATCCATATTTTTCTATTTTTATAAAAGCCAACTTAAACTTCATTTTCAATGTTGGGAGAATTAAACTCTAAACTAAAAAGCCTTAGAGAGAGGAAATTTGAATCTTCTTAAAGTACCCTTACCTCCATTATATAATCCCTGAATTACCTTTCAACTTTACCAATTACCCAAATCATCCCTAACTTCACAAAATACCCCTAATCTTACAAGAAAATTCCCAAACGGCTCTCCGACCTAAAAATCCCCAAGAACCTAAAACTTCGCATAACCCAAAACTCTCAAAACCCAAAAGAAAACTTGGACTAAGTTCTTGATCTGGTCATCGGGAACTCGGAGGGTATACGAGAGTCATAAGAAGTTGGCTTCTTCAGTCATTTTAGGTTACGCCTCAATTTACACTTTGATAGGTCGGCCAAGTCTCATCTGGAGGGCTAAATTCCGGTGGTCTAGGAGGGCCTAGGTTCTATAGGAAATGGTCAGACAACATTATATATCTCTTTGTTGGAGCCTTTTCAATAGAACTTTGCACTAAGTTTGGTTGTTTCTTTTACTTTTTTTTTTATTTCAGAAAACTTCCTCTCATGAAAATGAACTTGTATTTGGTATTTTTAGGCTTTTGTATTTGGTATTTTTTGATGGAGAATTTTTTCCAAGAAATTGACATGACAGAAATATTTAATAGATAGAAATATTTAATTATTGGTATATTTATTATAATATAAGAATAATAGTATTTGTTATATAATTTTATATATTTAATTTTAAATTTAATTACATTTTTATCGCTATTTTATTTCATTTTTAATTTTCTAATTTGAGAATTAAAATATAAAACTGAATATTATTTATTGTATTATAAGAATAATAGTATTTATTATATAATTTTATATATTTAATTTAAATTTAAATTATAATTTTATCTATTTTTTATTTCATTTTTAATTTTCTAATTTGAGAATTAAAATATAAAACTGAATATTAAATGAAAGAATGGTAAAGTAGAATAATAGCGAATAGAAAACTAGAAATAAAAAAAAGCAAACGATCAAATAAAAATAAAGGAAAATCTATTGAAAATTAAAATACATCCAAATACAAATAAGAATAAATAAAATTAACATAAATTCTATTTCACTAATTAAATAATAAGAATTTCAACAATAATAATCACTTGTAATAAAGTCCTGTTTATATAAAGCCAGACAACTAAGCTGTCCGACATTAGCAAAATTGAACGCAAGGTTGTTCATTTTTGTTAGCATATGGCAAGCCCTAACTAAGAGAAATGGACGAAAAACTTGCAGAATTTCCCACCTGCCAATTTGAGAATGTCGAACAAGGGGCAATTCTTGAAAAATAAAATAAAATAAGAGACTTGTGCCTAAATAAACCCGTTGAAATATTGTCCGCACATAATTTTTATAACTAAAATTAGGTTTTCAATAATGTCTAGAATTTACATCTTTTGCGGGATTATATTTTTTTTCTTTCTTTTCTTTTTTCCTTAAACTTCGAAAAGACACTATCACACGCACTGCTTCTGCATAGGAGACTAGCATATAAATCTCTTCTATACGACCATATAGGGGGGTCTTATAAAGTTCACTAGTCATTGGAAGAGTTCAAGGTTAAACAACATACTCAATATAATATTATGTTTTTAGAAGCTGAGCTGCCCAATATAATATTATGCTTCCAAAAGCTGAGTTGATGCTCTTGGAAGTTGAGGCAATTTGTCAGTTTATTACGTTTGCTCAACACCTCACAACTTCTGCGATTGATAAAATTTCAAAAGATTTTCTCCATGCTACTTAGAATAAGAGATGTTATACCAAGGAAAGCTTTGGTTAAATAAATGGTGATGAGCAAATCTTCTATTAGGACCTTAAGCAAATTCAGAAAATTGTTTGGTAAAAAGCAACCCAAAGGATTTAAGAGGTAGTAGAAGTAAAAGAAACAATTTTATTTGAATAATATCATAGGAAGAATTTCATGGAAAGTAACATGTTTGAATGATCTTATCCCTCTTTGTCTACGGATTCATATCAGTACGGTGAGAGTGGAATCTCATTATTTTTGTATTGATACAGGAAGATGGCTTCAAATTCCTAGAGAAGATCGTACTTGTCGGCTTTGTGCCGAAGATACTATTAAGGACAAACATCATATTTTTCTGCAGCGTGCCACAAGAGCAAAAATGCTAAAAAAATAGAACACCAATGTTCATAATTTAATACATTTGTTTCAAATCCCAATGTTCATAATTTAATACATTTGTTTCAAATCCCATGCAGGATTCTTGGTCACTTTTATTGGGGAAATTTTCAAACTCATGCCATGTACACTATGTCCAATAGATCCTGAGGGTCTTATATGGATGTAATGAAAATTCAGTTTCGGTTCCAGTTTCATAAATCTCTTCTATACAACTATACAGTGGGTTCCTATAAAGTTCACTACATTAGTCACAAACTTGTAAAGCAACATGGGAATATTTTTTCACGCCATGTTCCTTCCCATGTATATACTTTTGCAAGGTTGTTGTAGTTTTAATTAGGGTTGGCAATGGGGAGGGCCAGCCCTGGCCCTAGCTCTGCCATGTCCCTTTAGGGCCGGCTCTGACCCTATCAGGGGCAGGGTCGGGCTAAGTAAAATTAAAAAAAAAATAAAACAAAGTTAAAAAGATGAAAAAAAAAACACAAATGTGGGTCGGGCCAGGAGGCGCGGAACTAGACCGATACTGTCTTGGCTTGGCCGGGCGTTTTGCGTAAGCTATTTCTAAACTTTTTGCCTTTTCTAAGGTTTTTAATAAATTAAAACCTCTCGAGTTTCAACCCCAAGTAATGGCTAAGAAATATTTATGTGATAGTGTCCTTAATTTGCTGGAGATGTGGTATGCATTCTACTCCAGAAACAACCAATAACGCTGCTTGTGTAATCATTGACCACATTTGAGATTTTATGCTCCAGCAGAGCACATTGTTGATTTACTCCCTTTGGTAAAACCTTATCTAGGACTGCTTTTAGGACCCGAAATTTAAGGGATATAACTTTTTCCAACTAGTACTAATTTGTAACAGAAAAAAAAGATTCAAGCCGTACTCTATGTGAACCTGAAAGAGATAATCTCTTAAGATTGAATAAATGTTGTCCAATTCTTAAAGTGTGAGATCTAAGTTCTGAAGAACTTAAAATCTAAAATTTAACTTTTTTTCATATAGTAATTGTTACGTAGAGTCCAAAGCTTTAAGGGTGTGGTTTCTATAAGGTTGCAACCTTAAACAATCTAATTAAGGCGCACATCCAAATTTTATCATAACATGTAATTTTGGTGAAAAAATTCTTTAGGATTTTTTCAAAATCTATTTTCATATTTAATTATATAAACATATCAAAATATTGAAGATGGATAGTCGAGATAATGTGTTGCAAGATACACTACTTTTAGGAATGAAATTTTTTTCTTTTTTCAAATTCATACATCTCGATGTTAAGATGATCAATTAGAGGTTTTTTCAACATTAAAACAACCTTTTCCAATGGATTTTTGAAGTGCATCTGTAGTTCTACATTTTAATATTGCAACCTTATATAAACTTTTTCCATAACTTTAAATCAAAAAATTCTTCTAAAGTAGCTACTTGGCCCAAGAGAGTAAGTATATGCTATGTTCCAACACTAGCACAGGACACTGCATTCCTCACTGTTTACTGTGCTTTCTTGGTGAACAACTCCAATTCATGCATGTCCACGTATGCATGAGAGAGAAGGTCCCTTGTTTTTTATAGGGCTCGGGCTTTATGATATCGAAAATCTTCATGATGTCTTTAAAATTAGTTTCCAACACCGATAATAAAATTTGAAATTTAAAAATTGATATTGATCTTGCAGATTTGTTAACATTTATTTTTAAGGCAAAATAGATGGTGATTCGTTATAATTAATACTATTTTTAGAATTAGAAATCCGAATTATTTTAAACAACTATAACGTTCAAGCTGTGATCATCAATTTAAAGGTTTTTCAACACTTAAATTGTAATTTTGGATGAGTTATGAGGTGAAGCTTTACTTATTGTGATAGAGCTGCAGCCTATCAAAGCATCTTTCTTTAATGATTGAGAGAGAGATAGCTAGAGAGAGAGGGAGATGCATGTTAATTTGATTGATCAATAAATTACACAAGGCGTTATTTATACATTATTGAGATTAGGTGCGCTTTCCACGTCTCTTGACCAAAGCCACGGGGCATTTCGCATGATTTATACAGTACTCCCCCAAGTTACTCCCAATAAAAAACCTGCATCATCAAAATTCAAGCTACAGTCCATATTGTAGATACTTCATATTATTACGCTATTTTACATGAATTATAGAATTGTATACTATGAGAGAATTTATTCGTGAAATTGTTATACTTTCTATCCATATATAAGTATGTTGTTTTTGGTCTGATAAGGGTTGGTGGACACTTTAAACTTTTCTTTAACCTGTCTCATGCTTTGATAAAGAAAGTGTATTGCATTAGGTATGCAACAAACGTAAAACTTTGCTACCTTATCATGAATCTTGAATGTATGTTGAATGAAGGAACAAGATCCTTGTAGCTTACTCTAAATAATTTAGATAATAATTGAGATAACGCTTGGATGATGATAATTAATATATATATATATATATAAGACACTAAAAAACGCCTATGGGCAAAAATGAACAATGATTTCATCTACCCTCATCACCATCCAAACTTCATCGCACGTTCACAGTTGTCAGGTAATATTTTAATTTTCATTCTTTTTACTTATTAGAATGATCTGAAATTTGGAGCGTGTGTACATTATAGTAAGACACACCTAATAAAA